CTCTCTCTCTCTCTCTCTCTCTCTCTGCCCCTCCCCCACTCACATGCGCTCTCTCGAAATAACTAAACTTTAAAAAAAAATAAAGACGGGGTGCCTGGATGGCTCAGTCAGTTAAGCGCCCAACTTTGACTCAGGTTGTGATCTCACAGTTCGGTTTGTGAGTTTGAGTCCCACGTAGGGCTTTGTGCTCACAGTCCGGAGACTGCTTCAGATCCTGTCTCCCTTTCCCTGTGTTCTCTCTTTCTCTCAAAAATAAACATTAAAAAAAAATAAATAAATAAAAGAAGTTGGGAATGCAACCTGGTGCAGCCACTCTGGAAAACAGTATGGAGGTTCCTCAAAAAACTAAAAATAGAACTACCCTACAACCCAGCAATTGCACTACTAGGTATTTATCCAAGGGATACAGGTGTGCTGTTTTGAAGGGACACATGCACCCCAATGTTTATAGCAGCACTATCAACAATAGCCAAAGTATGGAAAGAGCCCAAATGTCCATCGATGGATGGATGAACAATGGAGTATTACTTGGCAATCAAAAAGAATGAAATCTTGCCATTTGCAACTACATGGATGGAACTGGAGGGTATTATGCTAAATGAAATTAGTCAGAGAAAGACAAATATTATATGACTTCACTCATATGAGGACTTTAAGAGACAAAACAGATGAATATAAGGGAAGGGAAACAAAAATAATATAAAAACAAGGAGGGGGACAAAACGTAAGAGACTCAGAAATATGGAGAACAAACTGAGGGTTACTGGAGGGGTTGTGGGAGGGGAGATGGGATAAATGGATAAGGGGCACTAAGGAATCTACTCCTAAAATCATTGTTGCACTATATGTTAACTAATTTGGATGTAAATTAAAAAAAATTAAATTAAAAAAATAAAAATAAAAATAGAAGTGAATGCAAAGTGATCAAATTGAACACAAATATGACACCGTCTTTCCCTTGCTTAACATATTTTGAATGGTGACCAATAACTATAGCATAAAGTCCAAAGTCCCCAGTATATCAGTAAGGGGCTTAATGATTTAGACCCACCACCCAATTGGCAATTTTGCCAATTGACACCTACCCCTCTAGCCTTACCAAATTTCTTACAAACTCTTGCCACATGCAGTTGTCTCAATCTGGAATGCCCTTTCTGTAGGTCAATTGGAACACTGCCACTAGGCTTCTAAAGTTCATTTATTGTGTCCCACCTCCCATGGAAAAATTTCAAGTTGTTCCCTGGTCTCTGCCTTTAAAGCACCATGTTCATCCAAGCATTAACTTTTATCAATCGTTTTAAAAGTTTGCTTATTTGTCTGTAAATGTGACTAGAAATATTGTTTTATATTTGTACTTCCAGTGCCTAACAGAGCATCAGCTTGAATTCAAGAATGGATGGATACCTCCCTGAAGCTGCTGCAACTATTCTGTAGGCAATTGATTGGTTCTCTTCCTCCCTCCTCCTTTAATACTGTCTATATATTTCCAGAATAGTATTTATTACCTTATATGTCCATCTCTCCAATATAGTCTGTGAGTAGACCATTCTTTCCTATTGTTTTAGTTTCTGGTTCTAGCATATAATATGCCCTGAAAAACTTGAAAGCATGCTTCTCAAACTTGTGAGTGGTACTGTATTTTGTAGGTCAAATGCCAGAGTTTTGATTCAAAAAGACCTGGGTTTTTGTTTTTTCACGATATGGAAAGGCTGGAAAGATGGACCCAAACAAGCCAAATCAAATTTGACAGAAAGAGGTATAAATCTCCAAGTTTTGGTACACATTAGGTTTTTATTTGCAAGGTTGGAGAGAACCGAGTCAATAGTATGATGTGACTGAAAATAAAACACAGACACGCACTCTATAAATTAATAAAGCACAGAAGCTGGAGCAAGAGAGTTGTGCCTTGTCATACTATGAACCCTTCAGATGTAACTTGGGTGTTGTATAACTTATGGGCCACATTAACAAAATAGGAAAATTCCAGAAGTGGGTAAATGGGCTCATGAGTGGCCTGAAAACTGCAAAAATAGGAATAGTTAGAAGAATAGGAATGCCTGGCTTGGGAAAAGGGAGCAGGGAGAGCAGGGGAGACAGACTATGGAGTATTAGCTCAAGGGTTGCAGATTCCATTCAACCTACTTTCGATTATTAGGCCTGTATATCTTCCTCATTTTGCAAATGAGGAAATTTGTAAAGTTTAATGGAGTTACCTGAAATCACTCAGCTAATAGAGCTAGGGCTCAACTCTGATCCATTATATCGAGCTGCTGGAAGAGTTGGGCTTCTTTAAATGTTTATCTTTACAGCATTTTCCTTTTATTTAAACCCCTAGTTGTATTACCAAATGCATTTTCAGTACATTGTAGATTGAAACTAGTCATCACTGGAAACATTTGGGGAGAAAACTCTCATCACAGACGGATAGGAGAGTCTTGTAGTTGGTTGGAGTTTAGACTTGAAACCCTCCTAGGTTATTTCATATACTAAGGTTTCAAAATTCTGTGATACAACATACATATTTGAGTTAATGCATAACTACTTTATAATTAAGCAGTGCAGTTTGAGCTCTGGAGTCTGAGTTTCAATTCCTGCTCTGCCACTTACCAGCTAAGAGGTCTTGGGCACATTTTTAACCTCTCTTGTCCTCAGTATCCTCATTTGTAAAAGGGAGAAGTAATATTTAACTCATAAAGTTATTGTGAGGGCAAAGACCTAGCAAACAGAAGTCAACAAACATGAGTCTAGCTGTATGTATGGGAATGAAAGAGATTGTCAAAGGAGAGGGTATAAAGTAAGAAGGGCTAGGGGCGCCTGGGTGGCGCAGTCGGTTAAGCGTCCGACTTCAGCCAGGTCATGATCTCGCGGTCCGTGAGTTCGAGCCCCGCGTCGGCTCTGGGTTGATGGCTCAGAGCCTGGAGCCTGTTTCCGATTCTGTGTCTCCCTCTCTCTCTGCCCCTCCCCCGTTCATGCTCTGTCTCTCTCTGTCCCCAAAATAAATAAACGTTGAAAAAAAAAAAAATAAAGTAAGAAGGGCTCTCAGGGCAGAACCATGGAGAACGCCAATATTTAGCTGGTGTGCTGGGTTGAAAAGTATTCCCCCACAAACTCTTGTCCACTGGAAACCTTATTTGGAATTAGGATCTTTGCAGATATAACCAAGTTAAATTGGGTTAGGATTAGCACCCTAATTCAATGACTGGTATTCCTATAAGAGGGAAATCTGGACACAGAGAGATGCACAGGAGGAAAATGATAAGAAAACATGGGGAAGAGACTGTTACATGGAGACCATAGACACAGGGAAGAAGGCCAGGTGGCCACAGGGACAGATTGGTGTAATACATCTATTAAGCAAGAAACACCAAGGACTAAGGGCAACCGCCAGAAGCTAGAAAGAGGCAAGGGTTAGGGTTAGAGCCTTCAGAGAGAGCATGACCTTGCCAACACTTTCATTTAAGATTTCTAGCTCCCAGAACTGTGAGAATAAATTTCTCCTGGGTGGACAAATCCCACCCAGTTTGTCCTACTTTGTTATAACATCCCTAGGAAACTAACACAGTTGGTGAACAGTCGGACAACACAGGATGGGTGAGAACACTTCATAGTTTCAAAACTGTTTCATAAATATATCTCAACCGATTTTCACAAATACCTCGTGAAGTAGCAGTAAAGTTTGTAGATAAGAAAATAGATAATCAGAAGTATTAGGAACTCGATAGAAGGTGGCAGAAGAAACAGAATTTCAACCCGAGTAAAAGGTCCTCTTCACTCTGACCCTGTGAAGCAAAATGCTTCATCCTTTCCCAGTCTTTTTGAAGCTTCCTTCCCTAGCACAATTCCAACTTCAACCTCTGACCTCTGGCAATTTGCTTTCAGGAAGATCACTGATCAGTGAATTCTACATGAATTACATTGTCTAACTTTTTGCATTGTACAGCCTTAACCCTTACTATGGAAAGACCTTATCCCTTATCCACACAGGTAAGGAAGACATACTGGGGATGAACGGGTCATTCCTCTTCCTATCGTTCAGAGACAAGGTAGCAACCTACCCCACTAACTCCTGTTTCCATGGGCAATTTCAGCAGAAAAAAAAGTAGAGCTGTGAAACGATAAAGTTGTAAACACTCCATATTATATAATTCCAATTGTGTGCCCGTCCTGGCACAGATTTACTAACTTTCCTCGGATTACACAGCTAGCTCCTCAGTTTCTGAGTAAACAGAAACCCTCGGTTCAATGTTCCTTCCATTAAACCACCCTGTCTGTTCCTGCATAGAGATTCCTTGACACTACTTCCCTGGTTTGTTTGTTGTTGTTGTTGTTTTGGATTACAACGAAAACTTTCAGCGGAATGACCACCCCAGGAAAAAAAAAAAAAACTTTTTAAAGTTATTTAATCTCTTTGAGCTTCAGTTCGTACAGGTAAAAAGATAACACTTATTCTCATTATTTCCTGAGAAGCATACACGATAGGTAAAACACCTGGCACAACAAATTTTGCCCCAAGACAGCACAAATCAAGGTCTGGGTTTTTTTTTGTGTGTTCAATGACCCCCACCTGGAGACCCGAGATCCCGGGCTTGGCAGCCGCGCTGGGTAAGCCTCCGCCCCAGGCGCTGTTTGAGGGCGTGGCCGGTGGAAAGGACCCGGTTCACTCCGCCCCATTCAGGGTGCCCGGCGCGCCTGATCGCTTCGGCCCTTTGCTCATCCCGCACCCCGATCCGACGGCGCCCATGTCTCTTCTAACTTAGTACCGGTGACGGGGACGTCTTGGAGGATTTGGATCCGACGTGGAATGAGGCACAGCCTGTGACAGCCCGGGCCCGGAGCGCCGCGGCCACTTGAGGTCCCCGCCGTCGCCACGCCCGCGCGCTGTCGCTTCGGCCCCGCCCCTCCGAGAGCCGAAGCTGTTGGGTTCCAAGACCGTGTTCTCTTTCTTACTGTTCTCCGTACTACCATGCCTCTGTATGAAGGCCTGGGGAGCGGCGGGGAGAAAACGGCAGTCGTGATAGACCTAGGAGAGGCTTTTACCAAGTGAGTGACGGCGGCGCTGGCTGCGGTCGTCCCCGGGGGAGGGCGGGTGGTCGAGGCCCGGGCCGGGTCCCCCCAGGCTCGCTGGGCAGGTCGCCGGGTCTCCACTTTTTCCTCCCGCACCTCCGCGAATGACGGCCCGTATTACTTTCACTGTGAGCGATACGAATCCCGAGGATCCGGTTCTGACTGTTGGGGAGGCCCAGGAGGCTTCGAGAGAATTGTCTTCTCCGCTGGTGTCTTCCATGCAGGGGATGACAGCGATGACTTAGACCCTTATCCTGGTCTTGTTTGCTTGGGAAGGTAGCAACCGAACTAACGTAGACATAATTTATTGAGTGGAGCGGCTGTTGGTACTGGAAATTCGAGTACAAGACAGAGCCATTGCTCCCCAAGAGTAGGAAGTCAAATGAGAGAAACTGCACACATAAACAAAGAGGTGAAGCCCTATAGGTAAGACTCGAGATCCTTTGTTGCACCGCCCCCCCTCTGCCCCAAAATCTTAGATTAGGAAATTTGACGTTTTAAAAGGCAACTTGTAAACACTAGAGTATTAGTTTTCAGACTTTTGGATGGCATAGATCCCTTTGACGACCGAAAGAAAACCACAGATGCACAAACCTTAAAATATTTGCACAGGGTTTCAGGGTTTGGCGAACCATCACAGTGGTCCTTGGACTTCAGGTTGAGAGCCCTTGTACTAGGTTCAAGAGAGAGGAAAGTAACAGCCAGAATTGCCTCATATAGGTATTTGAAATAGAAACATCTGAAAATCTTTATATATATCTGAACATTGCCTAATATATAGTAGGTGCTTAATAATTATTTGTTGAGTAAAGGGTCAAAACCTCCTATTTAAGAATTAGACTTCAGGTGCTTCAGAATTGGATTAAACATAGTTCTTGATCCATGACATTCTCTTAGTGTTCAATGCAAAATCTTCCCTTATTTATGTTTTCTTATTTTAAAGGCTTATTTTAATACCATAATAAGTACCTTGAGACTGACAAAGATAATTACTCTGGCTATGAGGAAATGAGAAGCAGAAAGCTACTATACAGGAAGGTGATTATTGACAAAGACAACAGGAGGGTGATAAGATGAATTTATGAAGTAAAAGAAAGGAATTGAAATCAACCAGTGGGTTGTTGCATCCTGGGGAATTTGAGAACTGGTGTAAGTAAACATGATGTGACTAGTAGAAGATAGAACTATTTTGGGATAAGAGAGCAGTACTAAAAACTAGACAGGACAGGAGGAGATAATGTTAAAACTAAACTTACATGGTGATCATTTTTAGCAGCATTTTTTGGAAAGTTTTGTTGTACTAACATGAAACATACATGGAAATACCTAAATACTCAGGAGAATCCTTTTTGGGTTTTTTTGTTTGTTTTTATAAAGGATGAATTAGGGGGCACCTGGATGGCTCAATCCATTAAGTGTCCGACTTCAGCTCAGGTCATGATCTCACAGTTCGTGGGTTTGAGTCCTGCGTCAGTCTCTGTGCTGACAGCTCAGAGCCTGGAGCCTGCTTTGGATTCTGTGTCTCCCTTTCTCTCTGCCCTCCCCTGCTCGTGTTCTTTCTCTCAAAAATAAATAAACATTATAAATAAGTAAATAATAAAAGGATTGAATATACATAACAGTGAAGACTATAATAATATGGGCAGAAGCTTATTGTGTGAGTTCATGATGTGTGAACAGCGTGATTATGTCAAATATGCATAGTGTAAAAAAAAAAAAAAATAGACCAAAAGCAAACACATCAATATGGAAGCTAATAATATTAGAATGATGGAATTATGTATAACTCATAATTATAACCCTGGATTTCTACCACATTATGGGATTTCATTATGTGAAATAAAATCCCATAATGTAGTAGAAATCGAGGGTTATAGAGATATGCTCCCTGAAACTAAGGTAAAATTTATTTTGTAAAAAAAGTTTATTTATTTTGAGAGAGCAGGGGAGGGGCAGAGACAAGGAGAGAGAGAGAATCCTGAGCAGGTTCCACGCTGTGAACACGAACTGTGAAATGATAATCTGAGCTGAAATCATGAGTTGGATGCCTAACTGACTGAACCACCTAGGCACCCTAGGTAAAATTTAAAACTAAAAAAAAAGTACATGCTGATCTGAAATTCTGAAATAGTATACTGGTTTACAATATCACTAATTTGAAACAATTTTTTTTTTTTTACCTATAATACACAATAATGGATTGGATGGTATTTCTTTTTAGTTTCTTTGCCCCTTTGAATACATCAGAGATGTTTTCATATGTTTTTTGTGACCGCTGCTTTGAAACAAAGGTAGAAAAACTTGCTTCTGTGACAAATACACAGAAAGAATGTTATAAGTTGAATGTTTCAATTTTCTGTTATTTGCAGGTGTGGATTTGCTGGAGAAACTGGTCCAAGATGCATAATTCCTAGTGTGATAAAAAAAGCTGGCTTGCCTAAGGTATTTTTTTTTAACAATTTAGCAAAACAAATGCTGTACTGTAAACTTTTTTTTAAATGTTTATTTACTTATTTTGAGAGAGATAGTGAGAGAGCACGCACACATGAGCAGGGGAGGGACAGAGAGAGAGGGAGAGTAAGAATCCCAAAATCCCAAGCAGGTTCTTGCCTGTAAGTGCAGAGCCCAATGCGGGCTCGATCTCACAATCATGAGATCATGACCTGAGTCAAAATCAAGAGTTGAATGCTTAACCAAATTGACTGAGCCACCCACGTGCCCCTGTAAAGTATTTTTTATGTGACTTCAAGTAAGTTTGATTACAACAGTGCTAAATATATAATTTATGACTGTATTTCAAGAAAAATTTTTTACATCATTATTTCATTTTAAAAGTTTCCTGCCAAAGCTAATTTGACAGATTAGGACTTATAGAACAATTGGAAGAATAATTTTTCGTGCCATAGAATTCACCTATTAAAATCAAATACAGATGCTCCTGCCTTAACTTAATATTTGCATTCCTGAAGGACTTCCCTTTGATCACAAATGGGAAAAGTAGGGCTGAGGGAGACCATATAAAACCCATGTAACTTTGCAAAATAATAATTGATCCCTCAGGAAAAAATTGGAATAGCTTTGGCTTGCAACTGAGAGTGACTGGAGGCTCTCTCGGAGATAGTAAAAATAAAATGAAATGATGGATTGAAAACTTTGGTCAGTGGGTGTTGAGACTGGGCAGATGATACGGTGTGGGGCCAATGGGGCTATTTATTGTTAAGGAACCAAGAGGAAATGCAGCCCAGTGAAGAGTCATGAAAGGGTCTGCTTTGGAAAAGGAGCCTCTGGTACAGAAAATCATTTAAGCTTTTGAAAAATAGATCTGAAAGGATGCCTACCTGTTTGGTTACTGAGTTGATGATTCTCTTTCTTGATGAGAGTTATAACTGTTATAATTTTAGCTCCTCTTGCCTTACGTGAAGTAATAACCAACATAATACAAATTACATGTTATGCAGACATTATTCCCTTATTTAACAATGGGATATGATCATATTTGGTTTTATAAAACACATGTTGTAGCAGAATAGATTAGTACATCAATTTATATTTGGCATGGGGATGATCATTAAGATCAACACAAAATATGTTGATTCAGAAAGCCTTTTAATTATGCTTGATTAGGGAATCATTTTATTGATTGCAAAATTTTCTGCAAATCCTTGGGTAAGCGTTAATGTAATAGATATATGTGGTGTGGTATTCAAAATGTGATGGAAGTTCCTGTCTATTCATTTTTTATGTTATTTTGCTTTATAATACTTGATTTTAATATGATACTTGATAAATTACTAGATAGATTCCTGACTAAGAACTTTAACATTCTCATTGACACTTTTCTTAGTGCTTTCAGCTTTTTTTTTTTTTTTATTATTGTTTATTTTGAGAGAGAGAGAGCACAAGCAGGGAAGGAGTAGAGAGAGGGGGACCAGAGGATCTGAAGCAGGCTCTGCACTGACAGCAGCGAGCCTGATGTGGGGCTCAGACTCACAAACGGTAACATGACCTGAGCCGAAGTCGGACACTCAACCGACTGAGCCACACAGGCGCCCCAGTTCTTCCAGCTTTTATCTTCATCTGGAAAAGACAAATTTCTGTGAAGATTAATCTCTAATCAGCCATACATGGTTTGGAACCTTTTGTAAGCTACATAAAATCATGAAATTAGCGGAGCTAATGGTATTGTCATTAAAAGAGTAAATAGAGGGGCGCCTGGGTGGCGCAGCCGGTTAAGCGTCCGACTTCAGCCAGGTCACGATCTCGCGGTCCGTGAGTTCGAACCCCGTGTCAGGCTCTGGGCTGATGGCTCGGAGCCTGGAGCCTGTTTCCGATTCTGTGTCTCCCTCTCTCTCTGTCCCTCCCCCGTTCATGCTCTGTCTCTCTCTGTCCCAAAAATAAATAAATGTTGAAAAAAAAACATTAAAAAAAAATAAAAGAGTAAATAGAGGTCTGCCAGTGATGCATCAGAGTACTTAGAGCTTTCTGAGGATCATAATTAAAGTCCTTGTTATGTATTGGTGTTGACTTAGCACTCATGGCTTGGGAGTGTTTGCCTTTACTCTTGTAATGCTAATAGTGTATGTTCTCATTTTTACCACACGTATTTGTAAGCATGTATTTTGTGCCTGGTACTGTGTTAATTAAAGGAAGATGTATCGTAGGCCCGACACCATGTGCTTGGCCCTTGGACTGGGTAGTCTGTTGGGAAGGTACACGTTTTACGAGTAATTAAGTGGGGTGATCTTATCAACAGGAAAGTGTTGGTGCTTTGAGAGTGACTTGCAGGCCCTGAACCAAGTCTGGAGTGTTTGAGGAGGCTTTTCATACTTTTTAATCAGTGCTGATTTTTATCAGTCCTGGCAAAATGGTAAGTCCATATAGAGGAAAAATTCGAATTAGCATAGCTCTCTGCTTGTGAACACATACTTTTATCCCCACAAACCAAAAGTTCTGTCATCTTCGATGAGCCAATTCTTAAAGATTCCTAATTTAAGTGATTAATTTATATTTAGGGTTTGTATTTATTCTCAATACAGATTACTTTTGATTTATTACTAGGAAATGGATTAGTACAATAAATAACCATATATTAATTTGAAATTATTTTGTTATATATTAATAAATCATTTTAATTTTTTGTAGCCTATCAAAGTTGTTCAATATAATATCAATACAGAAGAATTATATTCCTACTTAAAGGAATTCATCCACATCCTGTATTTCAGGTAAGATGTAGTTATGGTTTTTTCCCCCCTCAGGTTTTGTGATTAGATTTTCCTAAGGCCAGTCATAGAGATATTTGGTTGTGTTACATCTGATGCAAAAAAGAGTTGTCCTCCATTACCATTTTTACTTGTTTATTTTCAGCTCTTTCCAAAATATATTTGAAGACTAGATGATTGGCAAGCAAAGAGATACTGAAAGCAAATTAAATGTTCATTTATAAAGGAGGTTGGATAATTAAATTATTATATATCCATATAGTGAAACACCTTATAGCCATTAAAAAGTTCTGTATATGTAGTTATATAAAAGGTGTCTTAGATATATTGATATTTGAAAAAAGTAAGTCGCAGAACAACATCTATGGAATAAATATTTCTGTTAAAATACGTGCATACACATGGACAGTAATGAAGATATACAAACTGCTGTAAGTGGTAGTTTCTGTGTAGTCGAAGTATAAAATATTTGTACTTTTCAAATTATAAACTTCTATTATATTTGGAGTTTTATGAGCATATATTACTTTTATAACCTAAAAAAAGAAAAAAATCTTTTTAGTGCTTCAAGTGTGTATTCAGACTAGGCTGTAACTTTTGTTTTCTGAGATAATTGCGTTAACGAAGATCGTGACACAGTGCACGGCATGTAATAAGAGGTCAGGAATGTTATCTTTACCAAGTAATAAAATGAAGATGTCTTTCTCTTCTTAACAAAATTGCACTATGTGCCAAAATAAATACAAACTTTTATTTACGTTTATAAATGAAAGCTGTCACCTTCCAGGCATCTATTGGTGAATCCTAGAGACCGCCGAGTTGTGGTTATCGAGTCGGTATTATGTCCTTCCCACTTCAGAGAGACACTCACTCGTGTTCTTTTCAAGTATTTTGAGGTACCTATTTTTATGTTGTTTCTTTTTAATTTTTTTTATGTTTATTTTGAGAGAGAGAGCAGGGGAAGGGAAGAGAGAGGGCGGGAGAGGGGAGAGAGAATCCCGAGCAGGCTCTGCACTGAGAGGGCTTGAACCCACAACTGTGAGATCATGACCTGAGCCAAAATTAAGAGTTGGATGCTTAACCTACTGAGCCACCCAGGCACCCCAGTTGTTGTTGTTGTTGTTGTTGTTGTTGTTGTTGTTGTTGTTGTTGTTGTTAAAGAGATTCATTACTTTGCCTTCTTAAAAAATTTTTTTTATTGTTTATTTTTATTTTTGAGAGAGAGAGAGAATGACAGAGTATGAGGAGGGGAGGGGCAGAGAGAGATGGAGAATCTGAAAGCAGCTCCAGCCTCTGAGCTGTCAACATAGAGCCTGATGTGGGGCTCAGACTCACAAACTGTGAGATTAGGACTTGAGCTGAAGTCGGATGCTTAACCTACTGAGACACCCAGGCGCCCCATTACTTTGCTTTTTAATTTTTTTTTTTAATATTTATTTTTGAGGGAGAAAGAGCACATGAGTGGGGGAGGAGCAGAGACAGAGGGAGACACAGAATCCAAAGCAGGCTCCAGGCTCTGAGCTGTCAGCACAGAGCCCATTGGGGGGGCTCTAACTGGCAAACTGTGAGATCATGAGCTGAGCCAAAGTCAGACACTTAACGGACTGAACCACCCAGGCGCCCCTGTTGTTTTTTGTAGGTACTAAAGCTTAAACTAAAAGATCCTCATTTAATTTCCTTCATTGTATATACTACACAATCCATTTAAGAAACCAGGTGAGAATACACTCAAACCACTTTAAATTAACCATTTATTTTCTTTCTTTGTATGGTTATTTCACATGTAATCAGCATTTCATCTAATACTTAGAAAACTGAAGATTTCTTCTTACTGATATTTTCTTTTTTTTTTAATGTTTATTTTTGAGAGAGAGAGAGAGAGAGAGAGAGAGCGCGCGCGCGCGCGCGCGCGCGCGCACAAGAGGGGGAGGGGCAGAGAGAAAAGGAGCCACAGAATCCAAAGCAGGCTCCAGGCTCTGAGATGTCAGCACAGAACCCAACATAGGGCTTAACTCACGAACTGTGAGATCATGACTTGAGCCAAAGTTGGATGCTTAACCAACTGAGCCACCCAGGTGCCCCTCTTATTGGTATTTCTGTTATTTATTTATTTTAATATAAGTTTTTATGTTAGGGGACTTTTTTAGAATTAAAAGATACATTCTTTACTATGGAGCTTATGATGTATTTTTTCAGGTCTTTCTGGTTTCCAGTGTTTAGTTACTCTGACTGCTCTAAACTCTTTAGTTCTTTCATGTTAGTCTTTAAATTCCTATTATATATAAAAAAAATTCCTACTATACCAAGAAATTCCTATTACATAAAAAAAAATTCGTATTGTATCTTATTATATCTAATATTCAAATAATGTCTCCCTTAGAGTAAGTGTGCAGTGCTAGGAATGACTCTCAAATCTTGATTGTGATAATATTACTTATAGTTTTCATTTTATAGGGGTCAAGATTATTTAAAGACCAAAATTATGGTTTAAGATGATTATATTTCATTTTAGGCCAGAATCTTTATTATTCAAATTTTTGAAAATTTTTGCCGTACACATTTAGGGTTTTTCAACAAGGGAGACTAGAAGATTGTAGAAAATGTGTATAATGGGTGAGAAATCAGGGGTGCCTGAGTAGCTTAGTCAGTTGAACATCTGACTCTTGATTTCAGCTCAGGTCACAATTCCAGGGTTGTGGGATCTCGTCTCGTGTCGGGCTCTGTACTAAGCATGGAGCCTGCTTAAGATCCTCTCTCTTTGCCATTCTCCCTGCTTGCGTTCTCTCTTTCTCCAAAAATTAAAAAAAAGAAAGAAAGAAAGAAATTAAGCACATAACAATTTATTTTTCATATATTCTACTGAGCTCAAAATATATCAGAAATCACAATGCGTTTGAGTAAAGAACAGTTAATATTTCTAAGTTATAGTTTAGTAAGGCAGGCCCAGAGAAACAGGTTACATATTCTCCTGTACTTACTGATGTCATAAACTTAGGGATTTGGTTTGCCGTTTAGAAAAAAAAAACAAAACAGGAACAGCATCAACACATCTGAATAAAACAGATAAGTATATTTACATTTAGAGCTTTAAGTGGGTTTGTGTTGGTATCCTTATCTTGTATGTGGCTAGAAACCTGCTGTGTCTACTTAGATAATGGAACTACAGCCATTATTTTTAGCATTTAGTTATGAGGACTTTCATATTTTGATTGAATATTTAATATTTGAGGTGTCACCAGATCTGGAAAATTCTCACTGAAAAATGTCACATAGAACCAAAGATTTTTATAGATCTTCAATTTAATTTTAACTGCTATATTATATTTTAGAACTAGAGTTCAGGGTCGTCCAGGTAGCTCAGTCAGTTAAGTGTCCAACTCTTGATTTCAACTCAGGTCATGATCTCAGAGTTCATGAGCTCGAACCCTGTGGCAGGCTCTGTGCTGACGGTGCGAAGTCTGCTTGGGATTCTCTCTCCCTCTCTCTTCCCCTCCTTGGCTCATGCATGTGCTTGGGTTCTCTATCTTTCTCTGAAAATAAATTAA